ACTTAACTTAACCTTAACCTAAACCTAAACGTTAAACGTTTAAAGTTAAACGTAACTACCTAACTACCAACTACTACTACTACTCTCTCTCTCTCTCTCTCTCTCTCTCTCTACTATATATATATATATATATATATATATATATATATAAAGGAAAAACATTTCCCACTCCCATGGGCTAATAGATCACGACCACAAAAGCTCATGAAAAAACCTCTCTAAAGGGATTTATTTGACCCAATTTCTGGATATCTAAAATGGTGCTAGATCAAATACCCAAAGTTTTGAGTCCTCCATGACCCAGATCTAACCATCACTATTGATTCAGAATTTTTTGGGCGTATCTACACTGAATATCATTCTTATTGGGTGATTGCGCGCTAGGGATGAGTAGGTCACATCCCCAAATTTCGGGGTCCAAAGGGTCCCCCTAGCTATGCATTTGAGCAAAGGTGGGACACTATAGTGGTTTGCCCTTGGGTGAACCAAATTATTTTCAATATCAATGCATATAAAAACATATGCAGCATCAGTGTGAGAGAGAAATTGACAAGGCCATCTACAGCTGTGCTTAACAATGAGAAAAGTATATTCATATGTCTAAATGCTGGCTGAATCGCAACAAGTTCAGTCATTAAGCTAACGTTTAGACTCGTTACGTTAACGACTGAACTCGTTGTCTAAACGAGTGATTTCAGATCGTTAAACGTAATGAATGAAAAAGAATATATCTGTTTGCTTCCTTAATTCCTTATTCCCTATGAAGTAGCTTAGCTGACAAATTAAAGTTTGCCTTTCAAACAAAAGCATCTACAATAAGGTTTGCATTACAAAGAAAAGCAACCTCTTGATATACAATAATCCAAGATGGGAAGACTCGTCATTTCACAGTCGTTATACCAAACAAGATACATGTTAAATATAATTCCATATCCTTATATTGATATGAGGTCTTACAACATTAAGTTAAAATGCAAATGACCCCCTAGTTTGAAAGACTTGGATTTGCAATGTTAGGGATTTAGAAAATGTCTCTATTGCTACAGAAGCACTTTTATTCTCATTGCTCCATGTGGAGTTTCAAGACACTCAAATCAAATCACTATATTCAATGCAACAACAAAAATTTATCAAAAAATCGAACTGGAGAATACATATTATTTATATTATCTAAAGAAATCACATAAACAATTTATTTGATATAGTGGCTGACATGAGAAATTAATGTTTCTGAGGTTGCAGAAGTAATTGGAAAAGGAATGATTATTCCAAAAATAAAATACTCAATTCGTTAAAATTAATCACGCATATATCTGCCAGTGCTCTCCCATTCACGTGAAAGAAACAATCAATCTTAACAAGTTGGTATTTTATTACTTAGAAAAGGTTGCTCATCCACAACTTGCAGAATATTCAGTTAGTGTCCTCTCATAGACATTACAAACAGTTCCAAACTAGTTGTTTGCTAAATTAATGATTCAATTAGATATATATCATGCCAATTTTGAGTGGAAATTCTTCACAATAACATTTAAAATGATGATTTCATTTGGACCAGTGTTCACTGACTCAAGGAAAGTAGACTCATTCACCCGAGTCACCCAGGTTCAGCAAGGTTTCAAGACCACAACCCCACAACTTGGGGACTATACTGAAATAGAAAGGGGGCAGAAATCTGGTACCATTTTACTCCTTTTTTTATAAAAATATGACACTTTGCTTGACAACGAGAAAAACAAACTACTTTTTTTCCATCCGTTGTATATAACAAAGTCGGGTGATTTTGACTTGGTCCTTGAAAGTTCAAACCTATACACGGAAACACACAAACACAAACATGAGCTAGAAAAGGCGAGGATTCATAGTCAAACACCTCTTGATCAATTTGACTATGGAAACACAAACTTCTCCCCTAGGAATACTACAGGTCTGAGCAAAATGCCTTTCTCTGTAAGCAAACTTCAGTTATCAAATTTTGGACCCGAATACTATTAGGGTTTGGTTCTAACCGTACCCGACCAGTTGCCACACCTAACCATAATATGTACCGGATATGGTTTTTTTTTTTTTTTTACCGAATTTACATTTTTCAGCGAGTTTTTTGAAAGTTTTATGTGCATATATCACTTTTTCATTTTTCGTATTTCAGATTTGCCATTGGTTCAATGTTGCAAGCATTTGAACGATTTTTATTTTATTTTTAAATTGCGTTGGTATGTAGGGCTACCTGATAGCCCATATCTGATAGCCTCAATTATGGGTTGAACAGATGTCGCGGGCATCGGACTGCTCTAAGGTTGGGATAGGCTACTTCATACGAATTATAAATAAACCAGGGGGCTAGGTCTTTCTGTTGCTGCATGTAACTCACATGGGAAGAAGAAATAAATCAGGGGAAAAAATATAAATCAGAAGGGGAAAAAAATAGAAACAAGGTATCAAGAAATTAAGCACCCGAACTCCATAATAAATACAAGAAAAAATGAACAAAGACCAAAATGGATCAAAGATGAGAGAATTCATAAGAAAAACCCCAAGCTCCAATCCTTAGAATTCAATTAAAAGAGTCACCAATGTAGGAGCAAGGCACTGGTTCCTCCAAAACAGTATGTTGGGTTTTTGTTGATGGAAATTTAGGGTAAGGGTCACGGAGACAAGATCAGTTAAAAGGTTATAGTCTAGTGTTCATGTTCAGGGAGGCCAGAGGGAATAAGAGGGTTTTGGAGATAGTTTGCCAGGATGGATTACTATAAGGGTTTGGATGGGAGAAGGTAGGTTGTCTAAAAGGTTGTGTGTCTTGGTTAGGGCTGAAGTTATGGGAATATAGGTGTTGTGGTTAAACAGATGATGTGGTATAGATAGGGATGAAGTAGGTTTTCAGATGTAGGGTGTTACAGGTATGGGCTTTGGATTGTGGCGTGAGGGCCACGTGAAGATGCTGCAACTTGTCGTGGAGATGTTGAGATTATGGCATGCTAGGGTCCAGGGATTTTATTGGTAAGGGTGAATGGTCAAAGGTGTGCTGGAATCCAGAGGCTATTTATGGTGTAAGGAGGATAGGGAAGATGGATGGCAAGGAGGAGAGACGAAAAGTAGCATGGATGAAAGGAGAGGAAAGACACAAGTTGGATATAAAAACAACTCCCACCATACATTTAGAATTGTATAGAATCAACACCATGAATATGGTTGCTATATCAAAAAAAAAAACAACATTGAAGATAGTTTGAACAAACAATACATCAATAGCTTGAATTTACCATCAAAGCTTGAAAAACAAACTTTATTCAATAGCTAAAATTGTTTGTCTTAGGTCATAAGCTTGCACATCTATTTATACAACTTTCTAACTCCTATTTAACACATGTTTGGGCCACAAGTATGTCCAATATTGACTAATATCTCCAAAAAGTACAAAACTAACTGTATCATCGTAATCCAACTAGGAAAGAAACCAAAATCTTTTTAAAAATGCAACTTCAAATCCAACTAGGAGGGAAACAAACCTTTTTTTTTTTAACAGTCTGACTTTTACGAACCAAACACAGAAAGGAAAGCTATGTACAATCTAAAAAATCTAAATCAACTTCAGTGTTATCAAGACCTGACTGGTGAGGGCACCAGACTAATCTAAACTAGTTGAACCGGCCAGTTCACTAGTCAGGCCAGTTTGAAAAATCTAAACAACAAAAATAAAACATGGTAATTTTTTTTGTCAAAACTGGTCTAACTGATCATTTCACACCAATTTGCTGGTCTGAATCACGTAGTACATACTAGATTTGATCAGATTTTGATCAGTTTCTGGCACAATCTGGAGTGGTTGATCAGGCCAATCTACGCCTCAAAATGGATATTTAGTTAAATGTCAATTCAGTGCTCTCCCAGATTCAAGACCCCCAAAACAACCGGCGAGGGCACAAGCTCCCGGTCCAAACCAACTGGTTTGGTCCAATCTTAGTTTCATTGAACAACTTCAAACAAAATCTCAAAAAGAAAAAAAAATTAGTGGGGTAGATTGTTAGGGATGGACTCCCATGCAGATTCGATCATCAAAGCCTCCCTTGGTCTCTTAGTGAAACTCATCCTCCGATCTAGGATGCTAAGGCCCATAGATCCTCCTCTTGGTCTTCTCGTTGATTAAGCACTCTTTGAATGGCCCACACCATCAGTCCCACTAAATATGTACTTTGACTAAGGAACGGTCAGAATTTGAAGTTTGTTGCTCATTTAATAAGGCCTATGAACCCACGCATCCTTTCACACCCCAAACAAATACATAAAAAAAAAAGTCACATTCCTTAAACTCTATAGTAGGACTATAGGTGGTAGCAGTATCAAACACAAATCCAAGTAGAAACCGGGTAAAAGTTCCTCCATATCTCAATTCCAATACCTATGTGTGAGAAATAAATTGAACTCATGCCAAGCTTTACACAGGTCTCCTAGTATTGGCCAAAGACAACAGCAACAACCCCCTAAATCTTTTTTCTTTTTTTTTGAATTTTAACTTTGTATTGTTGTATTATCCCTTACTAAATGTTCTAACATTAAAGAATGAAAAGGAAAGTAAAAGGTGTAGGAAGAATCAGGGACAAAAAAAAAACACAATAAAAGAACTCCAATCCAACCTCCTATAATTTGTATATAACACAAACACTACACATAAAAAACGCATACTCTAATACAACACAAATACACCTATAACCCAGTTCAGATTCCAGACCACTAAACAAAGAGGAAAGCAGCATAACTACATTCATACGGCAAGTCAACTCCATATAGTGATCCATATACTACACATAAAAAAGCACATATATACATCTAAAGCAGATACATAGAATATTATAACCCATTCCAGTCCACCAAACAAAGAAGGATTCAGCATGGTTACATAATAAGCAATCCAAATGTGCGATCAATATCTGACAAACAAGGCGATCACCATATCCAAATTCTTCAATAAAAAGAAGAAGAACAGAAAAAGAAGAAAGTGAAATTTATAGCTTTCATCCCCATACCCATAAACGGTACCATGAGAAAGGGGAAAACTTCACCAATGAATTCAAGCTCAGCCTCTCGCCTTGAGCTCAGCAAGCCTCCGAGAAAGGTCATCCTCATCGACCTTCTCTGTTGTCTTAGTGGGAACAGCATGAGCAGCTGGTTGAGGAAGACCTACCGAAACCTCGAGGCCATAGTCATCTGCAACTTGTTGCATCAAGCTATTGACTTCACCCTCTGGTGTAGAGAGAGAAGTACTACCAGCCATCGAATTCTCCATAAACTCAGCTTGAACCTCCATGTTCACAAATTGTTTCTCAAATTGATCCATGGTTTCCGACATTTTTTGAAGATTACCGGTGGCCAAGGAGGATTCAAGGGATTTGACGATGGAGGCCATAGATTTGTTGATCGTCATCATCTTGGCCTGTGTATCAAGGCGAGAGACCACCGCATCTAAGCGAGAGGCCAGACGAAGGTAGTTCATCTGCTCTGATCGCTTTCGAATGGAGTTTTCAGCATAGATTCGAGCTCCATCCATGTTCCCTTTCTCGATCGCTTTCTTCACCTTGAGCTTCTCAGATTTCTCCTCTTTCTCGCATTTTCGAGCCTGGCGTTGAAGGCTCTTCGATGTGAACTTGAGCTCCATGATCTGGTTCATCAGCTTCTCTGAGTTCCCCATGGCTTGGGCTTAGATCTCGATCTCTCTCCCTCAAACAGCTCTATGAAGGAATTAGGATTCCTGATACAGAGACACAAGATCCGACGGCTTTCAGAAGGAATTACGGTTTCTGATGTGCCACTCTATCTCCACGAGAGGAATTAGGGTTTGTAGCGTGGCTGGCGCAGAAAGCGTGTGAAAAAGGAGAGAGCGTAGAAAGCCTTGGGGTGGGCGGGTGCGGTTTGCATGAGGCTGCAACCTTAAACAATCAAAGCAAGACGCACCACCAAAATTTGGTATAAAATGTAATTTTGGTACCCATAACTCTTAGGTTGATGCGACAATTTATTAGTATCTCCAATTATAAATTTTGTTTAAATAGTTCAAACGAAGTATATCTATAGACGCATGGAAATCTAGTTTCTAGACAATCCAGATAGATAGAGATAAGGGAAATGTTTTTACGGAACCCCACCCACATATTTAGTATGTGTGACCCTGGATCTCTGCCGTTAAATTTGAGTAGATGGCAGAGATGGCTTGAGTCATAATGTCACAAGCTAGTTTTTCGCTGGTAGATCATCATCGCTCTTAACCATTTGATCATCATCTTATGGCTCCGAGTGTTTTATTTATAATTTTTATTTAATAAATTATTTTAAATCAAAATTTGGGGCATGTATAAATTTGACAAGGTTGCACATGATAAAAAAATAATTCTGGTGATAAAAATTTACCAGAATACCCCTATAAAATTGTAGAGGCATTTTGGTTATTTATTTTTATGAGATATATTTATTTTTTGCCCTAATTTTATCATGGGACTCCCAAAATTTCATCCAAAAAGTTTTTGTAGAAAAAATATAAAAAATAAAATAATATTTGACGTGACATTATGGTATGAACAATCATAGCCATTCGATTTAGATCAAACGGTTAAGTAGTAGGGTCACATATAACTTATATGTTGTTAGAGTCACATAGAAAGTTCCCCAAATAAAATAATGTGTTGCAAGATGTACTATTTTTTAGACTTAATCCTTTTCTCCATATCCATGCATCTGGACGTTGAGAAATTAGATGTATTTTATACATCAAAAAAGCCTTTTTCAAAAGATTTTTGAGATCCACCATAATTCTATATTTTAAGGTGTCAACCTTATAATATACTTTTTCCTTTCGGATGTCCTTTTGGAGAAAAGTCCCTAATTATTTTATACAATCATGTGGATCATATCATTCAAAATCTAATTTTGTGTATCCCATATATCATAACCTAAAAAGCATTTGAAAATTTTTACTGAGCCCATATCCAAGATATGAGTATATTAAAAATCCCTCAAAAGCTAGACATGATGGTATGAAAAGATAAAAAATAAATGGACTCATCCATAAGTTTGCTAATCTAAGTCTCTATGCCTTTTTTGCCATTGTTTTCTACTTCATATCCACCCTATTTTATTTAGAGAATATCAAGCATTTGAGCTCCATTTTTGCGCTTAGATCATAAATAGCTTATTCAGATGGGGAATCGTCCATACCGATCAGGTTATTTGTAAAAATAGAAAGTTTTTATGGGATATATAATATACGGTGCGGTTTGTATAGAGCTCAAGCTCTAAACAGTCAAAGTAGAATCTACCTTTAAATAGTGTCCAGAAATGTAGTTTCAATACTGAACATCATTGTGATAGCCTTAAAATATCTTTTCGTCTTTATTTATAAAGTTTAAAGCTTCAAAAATAATATAGATCGATAGATCTATGAAACCTTGAAAATCTTGAAAATTGATGGTCCAAAAATGCCTAACAAAATCCACTATTTCCAAAACTTGAAATCCTTTTTTTTCTTATGTCCATGCATCTTGATGTCGAGATAATCAATTTGACTATATTTGGGCATCAAAAAATCCTCTTCTAGTGAAAGTCTGAGGTAGGCTCTAATTTGACTATTCAGAGCCTAGGCTCTATATAAACTTTTTCCTATAACATAATGGGTACTTTTTACTGCAAACAATTTAAAAGACTTATGATAGTGGGGATGAACATTTAATACGGCATTGGAGGGATAAAGATCCCCCAACTCTCCTGCCTCTATAAAAAGTCTTTTTATTTTAGGTGTTCAAAATTTAACCTTCAAATAAATGTTTTCATGAGGTTCAAAAGATGTTTACCCACAGGGCTCAACCTTGGCTACAAGTCACAAATGCTCCCAAAAAGGCTATACATGTTAGGTGATTTGAAACAGAGAAGTTATGGTATGCAATGTTAATACTTGGTTTTATTTTTCTTAAATAGATTACTAGATCAATGATCTGAATGATCGGAGAATACTCCAACCATTCCAGACGAGGGACGCACGAGGGTCGATCCGCTACCGATCTATTTTTTAAAAAAATTGGTTTCTCCATTTAATTATGTTCACTCCACCTCCTTTCCTATTCTCTAGACTTCCCCCACTCCCCCTCCTTTTTCTATGCACCCATCATTTCTTTTTCTCTCTTCATGGATTAGGTATTAAACAAAATGGGGTTCTATTGAGCCTTATTGGCTTAACTGTAAAGTCAACATGGAGATTTTGTTCAATTGGAGATAATATTAACATAGGGTGTGGTTTGTATAAAGCCAAGGCTCTAAACAATCAAAGTAAAGCGCACCTTCAAACAGTATTGAGAAATATGGTTTTAATATTGGAAATCATTGTGATAGCCTTAAAATATATTATCATCTTTAATTATAAAATTTAAAGCTTCAAAAATAGTGTAGATTGAGCAGATCTATGAAAACTTGAAAATCTTGAAAATTGACGGTCGAGAAATGCATTACAGGATGCACTATTTTCAAAACTTGAAATCCATTTTTTTTCTCATGTCCATCTTGAGGTCGAGATAATCAATTTGAGGATATTTGGGCATCAAAACGACATATTCTGATGAAACTTTTTGAGTTGTGCCCTAATTTGATTATTTAGAGACTCGCACTTATATAAACATTTTCCATAAATATATGCTCTTTTTCGCTCTACATTCTCTCTCTTGTACATTAAAATGGGCTAATCTAATATTGACTATATAATGACTAATTATGAGAAATAAAATTTTCTTATTTGTGTAAGATCCAATAGATGCATTTGACTTGATTTGTAATTGAATTTAACTTCATCTTACTGCTTCTATGAACTATTCACTCTAGCCCCTCAAATTTTTCGACACCCTCGATGGAGTTACTTTCCATCATAGATTGCTTTAGTACATTGCATGGGAATGTGTTTCGATTGTTGTAGTAAATTGTACATGAATGTATTACCTACTTGGGTATGCCAATTTCATATGGTCGTCTTCTTATTGCAGTTTGGGATAAAATTTTGCAGTGTATCCAAGTTAAGCTAGATTTGTGGAAATTTAAGTATTTATCTTTTGGGGGAGGATTGCTCTCATTAAGGCATGCCTATCAAAGTTGCCTATTTATCAGATGTCTATTATACAAATTTATGCTTCGATAGCAAAGAAAATAGAGACTATGATGATGAACTTTCTGTAGGGGTCCTCTGTAGAGAAAAAGAAGTTTCATCTCCTTTGCTGGGATAGAGTGTGTACGCCAAAAAATAAAAGGGGGGGCTTGGGATTAGAAAAATCAAACTGGTTAATCAAGCTCTGCTCTGTAAATAGTAGTGGAGATGTCTTACTATTAAATACCACCTTTAGTACGAAGTGATTACTTCAAAGTATAAAACGGATAGGTTTGGTATGTGGGTGGGGAATAGGAATGGAGTAAGGGGGCATGTCAGTCAGCTAGAGGGCTATCCATTCGTGTAAATGCTTTATACATCGGGATATTCGATGGTGTGTAGCTAATGGCTGCAATATCTCCTTTTGACATCATAAATGGTTGGGGAACTGCCCATTAAAATTAAGTTTTCTTTTGATTTATCATTTGATGACTAACCAAGAAGCCACTATTGCCGAGCTTTTTGTTCGCAGGGGTAGTAATGTTGAGTGGAATACTACTCTGCCTTATAATAGGGTTTCTGATTTGGTTTTCTCTCAGTTTGCTGAACTTCATAGACTATTTGAAAGATGTTTATATCTCGCATAGTGCTTCTAATGAGGTAGTTTTGGGGATTGACAAAAATGGGATTTATTCAGTTAAATCTTTGTATCATTTACTCTACATGATATGGTGCGATGGCCTATGCCCGAATAGCTATCTTGTGGAAATTCTCAAAGTGCAAGGTTTTCATCGGTTGGCGGTTCAAAACAGAGTTCTTACGGTTGATAATCTGATCAAGAGAGGGAAAATTTTACCGAATATATTTCTCATGTGCAAGGAAGACAGAGAGACTGGTGATCATCTCATTCTCCATTGTCCGTTTGCCAATTGCATTTGGATGTGGTTTTTTTACAAGCTTGGGGCTCCATTGGTAATGCCACCGTCGATGATTGGGGTTCTTCATAATCTTTTAGTTACTTTACCAAGGACTGGGAGTGTTGTATGGCAAATCTCTAGAGGAGTCATTCTATGGGAGATCTCGAGAGAGAAATATAAGAATATTTGAAGGTATCTCTTTGCCTGTTGGAACAGTTTTGGAGAAAATCTTGCATTCCATCTGGTTGTACTTCTCCGTTACGAGTTGTGGACAAAATATTTTCTGAAATGGATGTGAGATGTAATCTTTTTAACTTTTTCCATTTGGATTTCCAAAAGTGTAGGCCCAAATTCAGATGGATGGTCCCACATTTGGGGGTTTATAAGCTCAACTTTGATGGTAGCTCATTGGGTAACCCAAGTTTTGCTAGTTTTGGAAGGGTTTTTCGGGATTAGATGGGTAATGTGATCTTCTCCTATACAGGGCCACTTGGGGTACGGACTCCGAATTATGCAGAGATCTTTGCCCTTCTCTTTAGCCTTCACTCCCTTGTGGAGAGGACTTTGGGGACTTCTTACATTATTGAAGGGGATTCCCTCAATGTTGTGAAATGATGCAAAGGGAATCAGAAACTTCCTTGCGAGTTCAAATCTCTGTTAGTTCAGATTTTGGTTCTCGCCTCCTCCTTTTCTATCTTTTTTGTTCATATGTATAGGGAGGCTAATGTGCTAGCTAATTCCTTGGCCAAAAGAGGTTCTACCCTCTTTGAAGCTGTTATTTTGGATTTTATAATCTTG